GTAAGTTCGGGTCCCGGTACCGGACAAAAACCAAAAAAAAGAAAAAAGAAAAAGAGGCCAAAAAAAACCCCCAAAATGAAAAACAAAAAACAGTAACAAAAAAAAAAAATGCCCGAGACAAACAAAAACCCCCTATAATGCACAATATAGTAACTTCGCTTGTTTATTTAACACACTGTCTATATAGATTTTGGGCTATATTATGTACCTAAATATATAAGACCAAGTATTTGCAAGAACACTAACATATACGTATTTATTTTTCATTAGTTCATTTCTCATCTGTACACAGAATGAAAATTTAAGAGTACAAATTAACCACTCAGAAATATATTCTTTAAAAATCTAACTCAGTAGCAATAAAAAATTTAAAAGCCCTAGGTATAATCAGTAAATGTGTAGGACATAACAAAAACATCCTGACATCGTTTTCTGAGGAAAAGAAAAAGATGTAAGAGAAAATTTGAAGCTACTGATTTACTGAAACTTATTCTATAAAAAGAATGCCTTTCCAATCAACTTGACAAAATGATTCTAAGTTTTACTTAAAAGATAAAATAATTTTTGAAAAGAAATAATAAGCTACTAGGTATTGACACATATTCTAAAACTACAATATCTAAAACAGTAATACAAGTAAGGAGAAATTGACAGGCAGATCAAAGGAACTGAACAGAAAGTCACAAACTTTATATCTGTTCCAAAATTTACAGTTTAAGTTAGCATTTCAAATTTGTGGCAAAAAGAAATTAGACTTTTATACCACATGCCAAAATAAGTTTCCCATGGATAAAAGACGTTGATGTAAAAAGTGAAACCATAATACAAAAGGACATATACTTGAGAAAAATAATTTTGGAGTGGATGAGGAAAAATTTCTCTAAGCACCATACCAACAGCAGAAACTATCAAGATAAACACACACATGCCTCAATGTCTGAATTTTCACAGGACAAAAAAACCCCACCAGAATCAAAACCAAAAGAAAGACATCAAACCAAGAAAAAAAAAAATCTATAATAAGAAAAAACAAAACCAAAAGTAAAACTGGGTAAAACTCTCTAACAAAGGACTGGGGATTTAGCTCAGCGGCACAGCACCTGCCTGGCAAGCGCAAGGTCGTGAGTTCGATTCCTGGTACTGGGGGAACAAACAAACAAACAAACAAAAATCTAACAGGTTAACACTGTTGACATGACAGTCTTAAAAAAAAAAAAAAAAAAAAAGACTAAAATCACAGTAGGGAAAAAAATGAATTGAGAATGAATAGGAAAATCATTTAAAGGATAAATGTTAATGGTCATAAACAAATAGCTGAACTTCAGCAGTAATCAAGAAAGTACAAAATAAAAACAGAATTGTTTTCCCCTCTTAACTTGGGAGGATGACCAGGCAGATAATAACTGTGTGCCTGGCACATATGTAGATAACACTTGCATCATCAATGATTAGATAGCTACAAAGATGGTCACCAACATGAACTCTAACAAGGAAACTGGCTGTGTATATTGCGATATCACCACTTAAGACTACAAGAACCATTAAATATAAGGTAATATGCAAATATAAAAGGTTCTGGAATGAGAGTTTCACAGTGTCATTGAGGCTAGCCTTGAACTCACAGCAATCCTCCTGCCTCGGCCTCCCAAGTGCTGGGATTACAGGTGTGTGCCACCATGCCTGGCTATGGAAATTTTTTTTTTTTGATACATTAATAGACAGGTTACTAAGCAGAGCATCAAAGTTTTGCAAAAATAAAAAAATTATGGTAGTCATATGAAATCATGGAAAAATTTACCACGTAAATGTTAATATGGCTTATCTTTGGGGTAGGCGTGATTTTGGGCACCCTTCTCTTTTTTGAATTATTTATGGCTTGGTACTAAAGATGCATAATTTTTTTTTTTTTTTTTGGTTTTTTGGTTTTTCTCCGGTACCGGGAATCGAATTCACGACCTCGCGCTTGCCAGGCAGGCGCTTTTGCCGCTGAGCTAAATCCCCAGCCCCAAGATATATAATTTTTATAACAAGAAAATAAGAGCCTTTTGTTACAGTTATTAACCAGTGATCATCCTTAACACCCTAAAGCTGTCAGAGAAATCCAGATGTGGACTAACTGCCCTTTCCTGTCGGAGGGCAGTGCAGCAGGGAAGCCTGAGACCCTCACTGAGGCCACCCTTCGCTTTTATTCCTTTGTGACCTGGGGATATATTCTCCTTCCCAAGCTTCTTACGATGGTGAAACACAATCGTGTCTATAAAGCACAGCTTTTGCCACACACCTAATCCTTGACAGACTTCAGTAAAACTTCTGGAGGGCAGGTGTCAGTGACTCTGTCTACACACATGCATAAGGCACTAACCTATGTGCATAGAAGAAAGTATTTGTGATTTTTCGTGGGGTAGAAAGTAATAACCAGGGTTCAAGGAAAAAAGAAACCAGTTTGAACAGCTAATTCCGATGTTGTTGTTTTGCAGTACTGAGGACCGAACCCAGGGCCTTTGCACTGAGCTACACCCCCAGCACTATTTTTATATTTCTTCCTGAGACACAGGGTCTTGTTAAGTTGCTCAGGCTGGGCTTTAACTTGTGATCCTCCTGCTTCAGCCTCTCAGAGTGCTGGGATCACAGGTGTGTGCCACTAGGCCTGGCTGAGTTTTTATTTTTTTACTTTTTATTTTTGGTGGTGGAGACTGAACCCAGGGGACAGTCCATACTAAGCACAGACTCTACCACTGAGCTCAATGAGTTTAAAAAAAACAACACACACACACAACAATATAATCTTGCAACCGTAAGCCGAGTGTGGTGTCGCGTGCCTGTAATCCCAGCACCCGGGAGGCTGATGCAGGAGGATCGTAGAGTTCGAGGCCAGCCTGGGCTACAGAGTGAGCTCAAGGCCAGCCTGAACTGCACAGAGAGACCCTGTCTCAAAAAGACAAAATATATATACATATATAAAATAATCTTGCAACCATAGTCTTGCTCTCTTTTAGTGTGAATCCTATTAATAGCTTTAATCGAGTAATTTGACTTAGATTTGACTCAATCTGTGGCAACAGGTGGTCAACAGATTTCTAGAACATCAAGATTCAAAAATCTTCAACTGCAGAGATCTGGGTACAGAGAGAATGCTGTTTAGATCAGGGCGTAGCGCCGCATGACATTTTCCTGCGAGTCTGTTCCATTCCACCGCAAGCGGCACAGCGACAGCATAACATGAACCTGGAGCAAGGTCGCGTACGCTGAAAAACACCTGCATGTGCCCAGCCACCTCTACATTTTACCAGCCACCCAAGCTTCCCCGGGCTGAGAGCCTTTTACGGAGGTGTTGGGTGCACGTCGGCAGAACCGCGTCATCAGGAACTTGAATTTCAAGGTTGCTGTTATTTAAGGAAACCCTTCAAGGGTCTCTGAAGACGTGTGAATTTGTAGCTCAGGTTTGAGCTTGACATTTAGAACACAGGCGCCAGCAGCATGCGGCAAACCCGCAGGGGATTCTTTCAGAAAAGAAACGAGGCCCTTTCTCAGGATTTAGATTTCCCTCTAAGGGCCCAAGCCTTCTGCTACCTGGGAGGAACGGCGACAAGGGCTCCTGCCTTCCATTTGCTCTCCCCTTTCCCTCTGCCACCCGCTTACCACCGTCGAAGGTGACCTCCACGCACAGGCTCCTCCGATGGCTCTGACCTGGCCTGGTCCCCCGAGCTCCGTAACCAGAGCCTCCGCAGCTGGCAGCCCCCTCGCCCCACTTCCGCGAATGAAACTCTAGAGGCGGCCAGGGATGCCATCCTCAGGCAAGAGGGACTTCCGGATGGGGACCCGCAGCCGCCTGCCTCCCCAGGCACATACTACGGACAGCTGAAGCTGCCGGACTCTACAACTGGGATTGCTGAGCAGTGGTTAAGTTTTGAGAATTGTACAGGACGTCTCAGGGGCCGGGCGCAGAGCTAACACGTTTGGAAAACAGTAACCGCTCCTCTCTGCAGCTTAGTAAGTCACTTGGTTCTTGTCCTCAAAATACGTTCTGTAAACGTTACATGGTGATCGTCACCTGAACCCCCTTCGCCCCTCGGCAGTCCCTCTGAGGTCTCTAAGAACGTGTTGTCTACTTCGAATAGCGCCTGAGGAGGGCGACAGTCGTTGCTAGGGGAGCGGCAGCTCGGTTCCTCCAGTCCCTTCTCTCCCCCACCCTCAAACGACCCGAAAGGAGCTCGCGTGTCATGAACTCACATGTGCGGAGCAAAGGGAGCTGGACTCCCGAGGAAGGCCTTTTCAGTGCTAGTTTATTTAAAGCAGTTATTGATTTATTTGTCAGAGTTAGATAGTGCCTTTCCCTCCTAAGAGCTCACCCACGCCACCAACATTTGGTTTACGTTATGCAAACCGTTAGATGCTTTTTCTGCATTTCCTTTTTGGTTCCTGCTGCCAACATACTGAGTAAACACAATGCTTTATGGGGAAAAAAAAAAAAGGAGCAAAGTGCAGATTCGATGAAGGCTCCAACGTGGCTGAAGC